CAGTGTTAACTATATATTTATACATAACTATATGATTAACCTCGGATTTTTTTATTTATTTTTTTGAATGATCAAAAATTAACATGTAATCTTGGAATAGATATAATGTTAAGTTGCAAAGATTATTCAATAAGGGAATGTGCACAAAATAAAAATAATATTTAATCAACACCATTTTGCTAATTGCTAAGTAAAAGCGAAAGAGACGCATGGGCAGACAAGCACTAGTGGGAAACTAAAACAAGAGGGGTAATTTAAGCTAACACGGCGAGTGGTGGGGTGAGAGGTCGTCTGTAGTTCCTTCAAGGTAACTGAGCAAGAGTTCGTGTCTGCAATTAGAAGGTATGCTACTATATGGCAGCGATACCACTACACACGCTGTTGTGTCATACCTACACACGAAACATTAAAGGAGTGTCGTATCAGATGGTGCGCTGGTGTGTCATAGCTACTGTGGTGTACTGTGTTAAGTCATAGCTTCTGTGGTGTACTGTGTTAAGTCATAGTTACAGAAACAGGTCTGGTGTTGTGTCATAACTACACCAATATGTATCCTAAAGTGTCACAACTACAGCAGGCAGATAGGTATGAGTCGCCAGGTACGTTGTGGTGTTTCTTGTGGTGTTTCTTGTGGTGTTTCTTGTGGTGTTTCTTGTGGTGTTTCTTGTGGTGTTTCTTGTGGTGTTTCTTGTGGTGTTTCTTGTGGTGTTGACAACAGAACGACAAAAAAACGTATACCGTGTCGCTGTCGTCAGATAAACACCACTATTGTGCTGCTATACCACACTACTTCTCCCCATCTCGAAGAGACACTGAACTCACAGTTTAATCCCACTCACGGGTCACGAAGATCTGGCGGTAACTACTAGATCTAAGTATCACCACGACACACAAAACCAGCTAAACTATAATCTTCTTCAAGCAACCCATCAATAAAATATATAACAACACATCACTACGTTACTACAAGTATAGAATACTTGCCTTCTCTGACATCAATAAACCTACATTGTAATTACACATCCCCCCATCCACCCCTACGCCGTATCAGTACACTGTAAGTAAGAAATGTAATTACTGTTCCACCTCCATCCACCCTTATCCGACCTATGGCAGCGTCAGTCTACTGTAATTAAATGTTTATTCTATACCCGACCTACTATTAACTACATTTTGTTTATCGATAACCGAATATCCGTCTCTCCCATAAGGAGTTCTCAAACCATATAAACAGTTACACATTAAAAAGTACATTTTGGCCAAGCAACCTTATGAAAAGACATCTTTTTAAAATGTAGAACCTAAAGCTTTCGATTCGCTATACATTTGTATTTAAACGTATCTAATTTTCAGTTCAATCAAATATACAGTACTTTCATAATTTACGGGAATTGAAACAATATGTATTTTTTGCATGCATGAAGTTAATTCAGGACATTCTCCCTCCCCCCTCCCCCCCAACCCACCAACATACGCCCCAGGGACTAGTGACATAAAATAGACTAGCCGGTATAGTATGAGAACCGTTCTAGAAAAGCGAACACGTCATTCAACAATTAAGTCAACAGAAAACTGAGTTAAATGTGCGTGACGTTAAGTGTAGCCGTCGCGGGCAGTAGGAACTACATCCTCAGCACGACATTATCAGCAGTCTGATACGTTTCTCATTGGGCAAATAGCGGGGAATGCGCACAAATGTTGTTCTCATTAAAAGAATACATTGCTTTTTAAATGTAATGGGAGTAACGACGTTCACAGGACGAGCTAATCGACAAAATCTCGAGCCCTGGGTCTTGTTTTAGGGGCAAAGGTTGACTGGGGATGTAGGTGGGGTAGAGTGATTAGTGGATTATAAAATTAGAGAGATTAGCGGATTATCACTATTAAAAATACGATTTTCATTGAGAAGATTAACGTGTAATGATAAACTAGATGGAAGGGGGAAAAACACACTGTAAGGTACATGTAAGCATAATGTAAGAAACATCCATTAGTGAAATATTTGATATTAATTTCTGGACCTCTTGAAATATAATTGGCCAATGGTTATTTTCGTTTTTTTCTAGTATTGGTGGTAATTTTAACTCTAGAAAATCGTGTTTTCAAGTTTTTATTATCTTGTGATTAGGTTTGGGTCAGGGTTAAGTTTAATGACTTAGTCTTTAAACTTCTGATTGCATGATACTCCTGTTTGAAATGTCATTTAGATTGTGCAGATAAATATTTTAACTTTACAAACAAGCCACAACTTTTTAACTATATCTAAGCTATATCTACGTAGGTCAACATGTGAATCCACATTGAACATCTGGTACCACTGAACATAATTCTTCTTTAAACAACCCTGAACTATTTAACAACATATTCATGCATTCATGCATTCATGCATTATCTTTATACTGGATTATGTAGCATACATGTATGACAAAATGTATATACATTATTATTTAGCACTTTAATGGAAATGCTAGGGACTCTAGTATCTGGGACGTCTAGTGCTATAAATTTCTAAAAGCTGAGATGTGTGAGATGTGTAGTATTTGAGACGTCAAGTCCGGGATGTCTAGTCCTAAAGACGTTAAGGTAAACAAAAACAAAATTACCATTGAGGACGTTGACGTGTATGCTGGTGACGTCCAGGTTACTGGTCCTACAGACATACACACCCATGTCCTTCATCTTGGCCTGCTTAATCTCCAGTGTACTGTGGATCCTGGCTAGCCCTATCTCCACACTCTTCACAATATACAGGCCCTGGCTCTCGTCGGTTTGGAGAGAGTTGCCGTCCCTGTCGATACAAACAGAGTTGTTGGACTTGTAAGCCGACATGATAGTTCAAAGTTTTTGTGTTGAAATGTTAAGGGAGAAAGTAAAAGGTCTATGAGAAATATGAAACGAAAATATTTATGCATCTACGTGTAAAAGGTCAAGGAAGACTTAACATTGTCTAAAACATGACCTTTTTGAACAGGTCAAGTGAAATGACCTTCATACGTTTTTGACGGCTTTGTTTAGACACCGAGTTCAACATTATTCCACGGTCACAATGTTGATGTTAATGAAATCTTACGAAGTTCCTGATTAAACATCGACCAATTAACTTAATTATTACTGTCTACCGTTTCCAGTTAGCCGTTCCCCGTTAGCTTGACCAGACAAACATCACTGGCCATGACAAGAAGCCTTAGATACAAATAGGCTGTCACACCCAGGGTAGAGGTTTGACCAGCCAAACATCGCTGGCCATGATGAGAAACCTTAGATACAAATATGCTGTCACACCCTGGGTAGGGGCTTGACCAGCCAAACATCACTGGCCATGAAGAGAAGCCTTAGATACAAATATGCTGTCACACCCTGGGTAGAGGCTTGACTGAGAGGCTTCAGCTATAATGTCATCACTCAAATATCTACATTGGCTAGACGGCTCTTTGATGAACAACGTAAGGTAAGAGAAGAGAGAGGACAAAGAAGCACCAGAAGCACCATGGAGAAGATCAATAAAGAAAGTTTCAATGGGCTGTTGAAGCCTCTTGCGCCGATGGGCTTTGAGAGATGATGATGATAATTAACATATTCATCTTTTCAGATTTTAAAATAATCTATTTATGGATTCCGCTGAGGTTCGATGTCAAAATATATTTAATCTCTTTGGCTAAAAAACACTTAAAAATAAATGTGTTAATCCTTTCAGTTTTACTGTAGTACACAATTGCTTCAGAAAGAAAATAAAAGCTTGTTTTTGTTGAATTAAAGTGAAAATATGGTTAGTAAATGTTGAAAAAAAATTGTCAGAAAAATCAGATCAGTTGAATTTTAAATGCCTATGTTATCTTTAACCCGAGAACGCTTAGTTAATTAATTAATTAACACGATTTTTATTTTTACCAGTTAAATTAGATAAACAATTGGTTTCCCGGCAAAGTGTTATCAATGTTAAACCACAAAGAATTTAGTTCTAGATTGAGACATCATTAGCAGACGACACTACAGTAGCCAATAGCAGACGGCAGTACAGCAACCAGCAGCACACGGCAGTACATCAGCCAGCAGAAGACGAAACTACAGCAGCAAGCAGCAGAAGGCTGTACAGCAGCCGTCAGCAACGACGGTACAGGTAGAAACCAGCAGTATACCAAACAGCGGCACACGACAGTTCACCAACCAGCAGCTTCCAAAATTTATGTCGATAAACATAAATGACAGCGTGTAGTTACAGACAGATAATTTCCAGAAATGGCAGCGTCTAAATGCTGGAGAATCGTGACCCGGTAGATGTCAACTTGTTACAATCTTGAACTCTGGTATTCTTGTACCTAAACGTTTCGCTTCCTCGTCCCTGTACATTAATTACCGCGAATACGAAGGTTTTGTACGCATAAAGAATGTTCGTTTTATTGCATACTTTATGTAAACGGTTGGCAATGGAATATTTAAATCAAGATTTTTTAAAATGAGTTTTGCACCCACCTACTCACCCTCATCACAGACGCCACAGAATGTTTGATAACCCTCATTCCACCCAAACTGACGAAGCACTTTAGCCTACCTCACCTCCAAATTGTAATGTTTTTTTTAAAATATAGAATCATAGAATGTTTTACTAAAATATAAATAGGGCCCGATCAAAATAGGTGAAGTACAATTTATCAATTTTTTTAGTAAAAATTCGCAAAAGGACAATTTTAATTGTTATTTTTTAAATTTTTAATTATAACATTGCACACTTTATTAACTCATACCCCTCTGGCTACTCATCTTAACAAACGTCCGACCCCCCCCCCCCCCCTTCTCTACCCAGGAGTGTGACGTCATGCTTGGACGAACCATAAGGCTTTTTATAACAGTTGTTTAGGCTTAAAGTGAAGACATCTTACAAAGTTAATGACTTTATAAATAGCAGTCATTTAAACCAAAATAACGATCTGGTTACTATTTCTGTGCGAATGTTTTTGCAGACACAAAAATTTCATACGGTTCGAGATATCAAAAACAAATTATTAAACGTGATCGCCTGCTAGACACGATGGAATCTGCAACACTTCCTGTTCTGGCATTTCTCTACCAGAATCGTCTGCTAGCACTTCATGGGATCCCAGGGGACGCCTGCAGACGAATTTTAAACTTAATGACATAGACTTGTTGCCAAGTCGACTGGCAATTTTTTTTTACTTATGATGGATAATACATCCGAATCGGAGGCATTTCATTTCGCATTTTTGAGAGTTATTTCAATTTTATAGCTGTAAATATTAAAATGAAAGTCCAAAGTTTGGTTTAAAGGATAGCTATTACATAATATTATGATATATTTTAAAAAAAACTCCATGAGAACACAACGAATGAAACATTTAATTAAATATTTTTGGAGTCCACTCAAAAATAAAATAGGAATTTATTTTTATGGTCAGCTTAATTATTGACAATTATATATTTAAAAAACTAAAACTGCATTTAAATTGTTACATACTGCTGTGATAATCATAATTTCAAAAATAAATTTGAATAATTGTATACTACTTGGCAACGGGATATATTTTATACAATGGGAAATTATAATAAGTGTATAACATTTCGGAAATAAAATTGAAAAATAATTATAACTGTAGAAATTTTCAATCAAGTGCCAATTTTTTTCAAAATGGTTGAAATAATTAACGAAATAGGTGACGTAATTCGAAGCTCGTGACGTTGAACAAATTACTTTACCATATATGTGACGTAATTCATTATGACGGCTGTAACCAAGTTTTTGATGTAGTCGTTACCATAGTGATACATACGTCACAGCAACAGTGACTTAGTTATATTTACTTTACAACAACTGTGACGTAGTACTGGCTACGTCACAAATCTCTGACGTAGTACGTATTGAACCCTGTAGTAGAAGTTCCTCTTCACATATATTGTCAGATCGTGCACGTATTTATTTTTAATCATTTTTGTTACCTCACGTTCTATTGGTGGTTTTCTTATAATCAAGCGCGTTGATTGGTTAACACGAACTGATGAGGTAGCAAGCCGGTGATCCGATGACACGAGCAAAGGGAAGCAATGCTGTTTTCATAAGCTGATCACCGCTCCACTGCTGGTAGGTGAACGGCCTGATTGGGGTTAATAGGTGCAAGCTGGGGATGTAATCAAACCTTACCTGAACCAGTCGATCTCCTCAGGTGTGTACCCCACACCTGTAGCGTTGCAGACCAGCCGGATCTTCTCGTTCTCGTTGACAAAAGACGTGCCCGAGATTTGGATATCTGTGGACAATGGATAGGGGAATTTGATCAACCTCATGAAGTGTGGGGCGGGGGAGGTGGTGTGGGGGTTAGACGACATAGAGAGAGGTGGGAAGCGAGGTGGTTGGGTGGAGGTGAGTTTGGACCGACTTGTGGTGAGGGTGGGGTGTTAAAATTTTGCTTAATTAATTAATTAATTACTTCACCACATTTATAATTTTTTGGTTGGTTCGATGTGCCAGCAATCTAGCGATACAAAAAATTTGAACTTCGTTATCAAATCACCTAAGCTAACGGCAGGGTGTAGATTCTTTAAACTTCGTTATCAAACCACCTAATTTAACGACAGGCTGTAGATTTTAAATTACCAAAAATAAAACAAAAAGGAACTTTTCAGACTTTCTTCAGCACCAGAGTCCGTTGACTCACCTCCACGCTAAAATGCCACGCTTCCACTCCCCGCACTCAGAGTATGAGATATGAGGTTAATGTTAATGTACTTCGTATCTCTAGAACATATAGGCTTAAACTAACATATTTTACAACAACTGTTTTTCATATTAACGCGCTTGTCTTTACTATGTCGAGTATCAATCAACTAATCTACTTAGATGGTGTGTGCAGAAAATCTGTGACGCTAAAGTTTTCACATTCTGATTACGGTGAAGTCTAAAACTGAAATTCGCGTTAAATTGTTCTTGAGTTTACTAAGAACTCGCTCATTGTTTATTACATAAAAATATTATTTGCTCCTTATAACACCTATAAACATATCAAGACAACGGACGCCATTGAGTGCATACTCACAACAATCAACACTTTTGACATTTATCGCCATAAAAAAATTGATTAAGACCTTACATTTTTACCGCAAAAGTAACATACTAAATCTCTTGCAAGAATGATAACTCTTAAATTCTTACACGTCTGATAACTAAAATATCTTGGAAGATGGGTAATTTTTTTACAAGCAAGTAAATTTACATACATGCATGTCAAAACCAGATGGTAAACAAAACAAAAAAAAATATGAAGCGTATGCACTTATCTTCTCATATGCTAAACTAATCACTGGATGGGTATGGGTGGGTTGGGGAGGGTTATTATATAGTGGGTGGATGATACACGTAATTATAACGAAAGAGGGGGGGGGGGGGACATTTTTGTAAAAAAAAAATTGGTATATTTTCCAAAATTCGGTGCTGATAATAGAACTCTAATGAGTTCTAGTCGTATTGATGGGAATGCACTCAAAGGTTAATAGGTGTAAGTATTATATTTAACATGTTAGATTGTAAGTTATTGGCTAATGCTAACGGGTTAGTGTTAGTGTACATGACTTGGAAGCTACGTGGCAGAGGTTCGAATCCAATCAAGATAAAATATACTTACTGGGTTTCTGGACCACCGGAGGCTCTGGGTGAAGAAGGCAAAAAAAAAATTTGGTTAAAATTATAAGGTGAAGGGTTTAGACGTGTATAGGGGAGGTGTTAGGTAGACAGAGAATTAGAGGTGTCACACAGGTATAGGTGTTAGAGAATTAGAGGTGTCATATTGGAAGAGGAGTCTCACAGGTACAGGTGTTAGAAAATTAGAGGTGTCATATTGGAAGAGGAGTCACACAGGTACAGGTGTTAGGTCAAATGTGTCAGGTAGATAGATGTATAGGAAAATAATAGTTGACAAAGATTAAAATTATAAGGGGAGGGTGAAGGGGCTTGAAATTATAGTGGGAGGTGTTATGTAACAAGCTAGAGGCGTCACACATGTGGAGGGATCACACAGGGGGAGAGGTCACAATGATAGTCACAAGTGTCAAGCAGATAGAGGAGTCAGGCAAGTGCAGGTGTCAGGCCGGTAGGGTGTCAGGAAGGAGAGGAGTCAGGGAGTTAGACAGGTAGGTGTATCAGGCAGCTAGAGGAGTCAGACATGTAGGTGACTCGGGTAGATAGATGTCAGGCAAGTAGAGGAGTCAGGCAAGTAGAGGAGTCATGCATGTTGTGGAGTCAGGCAAGTAGACTTGTCAGGCAAGTAGAGGAGTCAGACAAGTAGAGGAGTCTGGCAAGTAGAGGAGTCAGGAAGGTAGAGGAGTCGAGCAAGTAGAGAAGTCAGGCAAATAGATGAGTCAGGCAAGTAGAGGAGTCAGGCATGTTGTGGAGTCAGGCTAGTAGACTTGTCAGGCAGGTAGTGGAATCTAGAGGTGCTATACAACACACTATTTGGAATTAGGTATCAGACAGGTAGAGGTCCTACTGGTGCAAGTGTTACAGATTGAGTTGTCACAGTAAGACATTAGACAGACACGCTTGAGGACTATTCAGACAGATTTAGACAGACAATTGGCAGGCTGATGTGCTAGACAGACAGGTAAACATGGTAGGTAGATTGTCAGGTAGAGGGGAGGTCAATGGTGTGTGACGGTGTTACAAAGGTACGAGCGAGAAGGATAAATACAAACACGTGAAGCAACATAGACTACAGCTGGAGGCTGAGTAACATGCACTAATGTTAACTGAGGTCAACTTAGGTCAACTTAGGTCAACTTAGGTCAACTCAGGTCAACTTATGTCAACTATTGTCAACTAATGTCAATTTATGTCAACGTATGTCAACTAAGGTAAACTATTATCAACTTATGCCGATTAACCTTCTAATGTAAACTATTAACCACTAATGTCAATTCATGTACCTAATTTCAACTTAGAGCAGCGTATATAAACGTATGTCGACTTCAATCAGCTTAATGTCCATTATGTCAACTAAAGTAAATTAATACCAATAATGTCCACTGATGTCAAGGAATGTCAACTAATGTAACCAGTAATGTCATAATGTCAACAACTACCCATTAGAATATTATTCTATGATATTTTCGAACTCTATTTTTAGATTTACTTTTACTTTTTAATAAAGACCAGTGTTAGATTTTCCTTGACAAACTGGTTTGGGTTTATAGAGTCTTTGTAAATTTAGTGGCCATTAAAACGAGTTATAGTTACATCTACAGTTGCTGAACTCTACTGCAACTAAACATTTTATCATACACATTTAAAATCTTCAATATTTTATACAGAGCAAAAAGGACAAAAAAATCTAATATAAAATCTTAACTAACAATTCTCGTTATAACTTTACCTATTACTATTAACAAATGTAGCAATAGTTTTATCTATATAAAATCTTTAAATTTGTATCAGTGTTTTGCTAAACAAAGATCGTATACACAGATCAACCATAGTTTAATTAAAAAATTTAAAATTCTGTTTTAAAAATGACCTAGCAAATGTTTAGCAAACAAGTTTAAAACAACTAAGACAATATACATAATGTTTCGACTTGCAGAATGTATCTTAAATTCCAACTGTAATTTTAACTCAAAATTGGAAGAACGTTTTATGTAACTAACAAAATCTACCTAACGTTTAAGGAGCAAAATATATCTATGTTTTAACTAACAAAATCTGTCTAACTAAAGTCTATCTAATGTTATCTAACAAAAACTATCTGTTGTACTAAAAATCTATCTATTGTTTTAGCTAACTAAACTATCTGTTGTAGGCCTACTGAAAATCTATCTAACATGTTAGCTAACACAACTAAACTACTGCAGACGACAACAAAGTAACTGTACTTTCTAGCTAAAATTTCTAGCATCATGCAGCACGATTGTTAACATGCACTTCACGTTTGCTTGTTTGGCATTCAAAGCCTCTGTTCTGTGACGTATAACTTCCATTATGACGTCAACAAATTACTAAACCATCTGTATGACGTAATTTTGATGACGCCATTACGAAAAATAAAAAATAAAAATATTAACACTTAAAATTAAAAACAGGAAGTGTTGATGTAAATGAAACAGTCCAAACAACTGCGATGTAAATTGTGAGGGTTGGAAAAAATCCTACCAGAATAAAAAGCCAGTAAAGATGGTATCATAATTCATTTAACTCTTCATTTACAAAAAAACGTTACGCCGGCTGAAAATAATTCTTTTTATTTGATCTAATTTAGGATTCTCGTTGCCTTCTATGTGATAAGACATCTGGAATTTTTTTTTTGTTTTTAAATATATTTCTCGCTTCACCCCCTTTCTCGCACACTCTTTCCACCTTTTTTATTCAACAAGTTGTGAGAAAATAAATGAAATGAAATTCTTTTTTTTATGCTTATTGATTTTGGGGACAATATTTTGTGGTAGTCTAGTGGTAGCTGGGGAAATAAAGTCAGGCGAGTGGTGGTTGGTTTTCTAGATGTACTCTCTATGTGGGTTTATATGATTTTTTTAAATGTAGTCAAGGACGGCTGGTTCAAGTGGGACAATATCGAGGTTAGTGTCCCCGTTGCTTATAATATAAGTTTATATATATATATATATATATATATATATATATATATATATATATATATATATATATATATATATATATATATTGAAAGGCAATAGTAAATGGGTTCCAATGATGTAACTGATTTCATACTATACTAAACTATACTCAGGTCCATATCTTCAGATGGGCCAAGAAATCTATCTTATAACACTGGCAGACGACCAATAAAAGTTGTCACATCACACTCGCAGACGACCAAGGGGATCAACTGACGTCATCTAACCACGTCAGATGGCCACTACAAACACTGACAGTCCCAGCACTGACCTATCGCCGATGACAACCTATGACCTCACTGAATATATTTTTAGATCAAGATTTCAAAACAATTATTTTAAGACCAAACAGGCTCTTCAGTTTGAGCAGAAACAAGCAGACAATGAGAGGAACACAGCAGACGATGGATGGAACACAAGCAGACGACAGACACTCTCAAGTGGCTGTAAAGAGCCAGATGACTTTTTGAAATTTTTCCATCAGATCGAAACCTAGCATTGCGACCTTTAACCCACACAGTCAGTCAAGAGTAATGAAGTTTGTTGCATCCCAATTTAAACCTATTTGATTGTTGACTCAAATGTCGTGTAGGACAAGGGTGGATGTCTGCAGTAAACAAGACAATCATTAGACGATATAGTGAACCTTGGCAGTATGAGTTAACTGTAGCTACGAAATGTCAAGTTTATATAGAACGACAAGAATGTAGATAAAGTCAAGTGCGGTGAATCTTAATTAAATCTTAGCTAAGCTTTTAATGACATCAACTTTTAATTAACTCAATGCTGGAGTTGTTCTCTACTTGTACAGTTAAAGTACTTCAAGTAGTAGGATCAACATCAAGGGGAAGCTAATGCATTAAGGTTTACGTTTAGTCGTTAAAATAAAAGAGCTAATAATAGTGCGCTTAAATTTTAAGTGAGTTATAGCAGCTCTTCTCAAGGAATTAAAATAAAATATGATGCATGATAATGCCAGCTATTCTAAAACTAAAATGGCAGGAGATTTTATACACAAACAACGAACAAAGAACCAAATAAATCAGACTCTATGGGTGATTCAAGCAGCATAAGTTGGTATGCTAAATTAACATTTTTGAGGAAATCTGCACAGCGTTAAACAAAAATAGCATACCATTCTAGTTAAACCCTGATTAATTAGGTTTCTACTGTTCATGCTAAGTTAGCGAGTACAGAGATTATGTGAGAAGCTCATAGCCAACTAGTTTTACTTTTATCGAATGAGTCAGGTACCCATCAGAGCTGGGTGGACTAGTCAGGTACCCATTTGAACTGGGTGGACTAGAGTCAGGGACCCATTTGTACTGGGCGGACCATCAGAGCTGGGTGGACTATTGCCTTCAGTCCACGAACTGTGTGCTCAACAGTATAACCCCCCCTCTCCCTATTATTAATGCTTATATTGTAAATGCACTGACGCTGAAAATATAAATATATAATGGGGTTCGCCATATCATAACAGACGACCTTTAAATTGATAGGCGATACCGACTAGCCATCTCGTATTTAGCATTTATCAAAAGCGGCGCGGACAAAAACCCTGTCACCGGAGTTGTCCCGAGTAAATCTGATGATGGTTGAACTCTCAACACAGCCAGGAGGAGATAACTCCTAAATTATGCATCGCTGTAGGAAAGAGTTACCCGGGCCAAGAGAACTCACACCAACGGGCGGCCGTCATATGAAATGGCCATCTCGACAAGGGTTTGACAACAAGGGCAAGCGGGTAGATCAGCTAGGACTCAATGAATTCAGACTGCTGAAATCTACTCGCCCGTATTGTCTATACGAATGTAATATTCATAAGGTCTTATAGAGCGCACACATACACAGATGTATTATTCATGTGGTTTTATAGACCGCACATAAACACACATACACACAATTTTACCACGCACACAAAAAAACACAACTATTTCCTGGCTAGGTATCCGAATGTTATTTTAAAGATCGTTTGATTAGAATTCTGGAGCCAACGCTAAAATGCAAATAGTTTGGCACTAAACTT